GATGCAGAGTACTTTCTGTCGGGCGGACGCTTGCGCCACCTAGCTCACGCATGCTCAATTACAGCATTCAGTTTAGTTTCGGTTTTGAAATGCGACCGAAATTGGTCCTTTGGTGCAGGCTTGGCGCAGATCACCCATATTTCGGCAAAATGTAGCAGCATGTAGCAGGGTTGGGCCCTTGGCGCAGCAATCACATCACTGTAGTATAAGAAGAGTAGACAGAATAACTAAATTGTAAAACTTTTTTGGAGAAGTTTTAATTCTTCAGCAAGATAGTTCTGCCATGGAGACCATACAGATGATGAATGTTCTAACTTAGGGCATACAAAGGTAAGGTATGCAACGCATTTATTATTAGGAGGGGCTAGTATTAAATTGTCCAGGAGAAAGTCAAGTGCGCTGTCTTCCTTACCGATAGTAGGTCTAATGCGGGTGATCCGTGTAAAATTTCTTGTTATATAAAGAAAAACATATTTATAAAACAAGAATGTGCTGATGATGGTATCGTTAATACTGTAGACATAAAAAGATGGTAATGAAAGCTGAGCAAATGTAAGCAATTTGCATTTCTTTATCCTCGAGGACAACAGCCACTATCACACCAACCCGCTATGGATAATAAGGCAGTTTGCAAGGATAAGTGATGATCGCCATCTGTGACAGGAGTAAATTAGTCATCTGTGAAAAGTCAGATAGTGGACGCAACACGAAAAGGATGATCATTGATACAGATTAGGAAAAGAAGCGGTCTGAGCATGTTTTCTAAAGGAATGCCCAATGTTAAGTTGGACTTGGATCACATGAAGTTATTTATAACAGTGCATTGAACTTGATTGGAAAAAAAGTCAGTCAAATTTAGGGGTTTTACGTGCCAAACCTACGACGGGCATCTGGCACGCCCCAGCGGAGGACTGAGGAATAATTTTGACCACCTGGGGATCTTTTGACGTGCAACCGAAAGCTCGGTTACACGGCGCCTTCTCCGCAATAAGCCTCCGTCATATTGTGGGGGCACCTCGGTCGGGATTCGAACCCGCCACCTGGGGATCTGTAGGCCGGCGCTGTCGTCCCAGAGCCACCGAGGCGGCTAACTTGATTGGAAACAAATTAGAAAATCCAGGCAACAATAAAGGGATCAATTGTGACATTGCACGATAAGGTGGTTATGAGACACCAGGGCCGTAACCAGGGGGGGAGATAGGGGGTTCTGACCCCCCCCCCCGAAATTTTTTTCTGGGTACGGCCCTGGTCGGTGCACTTGCAGCCAGCCGATTTTAATCTCCACCTCTGCGCACGCGCAGTGGCGCGGTCGGCTACCGGATACCAAACCGGGACCGGTTCTCCGGTTTGCTGCAACTCTCCATTATATACCACCGATGCACATGATTCATAGGTGAAAATAAGACAATAGACACTTTCAAAATGGCCGCCGTTGTCGCCAAAAACCCCCCCCGAAATTTTTTTCTGGGTACGGCCCTGTGAGACACCCTGTCAAATGCTTTTGAGAAGTCTAGGAATATACAGTGCTGAAACTAACAAGAGGTGATTTGGAGCAGCTCTTGTAACAGGAAAAAATCGGTTTTGGAGCAGACAATTTTGAGCTTTCATGTCAGAAAGTTTTATACAATCTCTTCGAAAGTTAGCCCATAGAAAAGACTGTAGCTGTTGGAGCATTGGGAGACTGAAGTGTTATGCCCACAGAGGACCTGGCCTTTACAGATATTTATTTATTTATTTATTGAACAGTCATACGTCAGCAATTTTGTAGAAGTCTCAATTAACCTATTATTAGTACCGATGGCATCTTCAGTCTGTGTTTAACGTAAAAAGATATTTTCGGCTACTTTGTAGCGGGTTTTATTACAGTGACGTAATTGTCACAAATTTAACATCAAACGGACACTTATGGTTGAAAGTGCCTCACATTGCCCTCCCTCGTATTCAACTTGCTGCTGTTCATAGAACAGCTAAGCGGAGCACATAGCTACTCTAACCGATCACGAGTAGCGGTAGCTATTCATTGCGATCGATGTGAGCACCGTTCGCAAAAAAAAAGAAAAAGACGACAACTCTTCATTTGGCATGAGCAAAAATAGATGTTGGGTTTCAAGCAAATTCAAAGTGAATAGTAATAGTTCTTTCGGTCGAATATTTTTTAATTGAATATTGAAGACTTTTTGCACCTTTCTCCATGCCTTTTACTACTGTTCCACCATGCTTAAACAAAAATTCAGCTGGACTCACGAAGGTTGTTCCTAATTGCCCACTTATGAGTAGTTAAATTTAATCTAGCTATATTTATAGACTGTAGCCTCAGAACGTCCAGTACCTACAGTGGGATGGCAAGTAAATGACAAATTTGACATAAAATTAAGCCTATAAAGGAGCCTAGCCATACATAATAGAGGGGATTTTAAAAATTTTGTGCCTATATAAAAATATTTTTGTTGATTCTGAATTTAAAAAAAGCACAAACAATAAACAGAGGTTTTTTGAACATTGCTGCCTACAGCCTGTTGTAACTCAAGAAGGTAGGGTGAGGGTAAGACGGGCCAGGAAAGAGGAAGCAGATGGAATGCTGGAGAAGAGAGGGGGAAATCTCCCTTAAGTGTTCCGTCTGCTTTTTCTGCCCCGGCCCGTCTTACCTTCACCCTACCTCCTTGACTTGCAACGGACTCTAACATATACCCTTGAATAATAGTCACAGTTAAATTTTGAAGATTTTACTGCAATGTAATAATAACGATCCCAAAACTTTTATGTTTTTTTGTTTTGTTTTTTTCTTTTAATATACATTAGGCCTGCGCGTGCACCATACTAGTTTGAAGATGTGCTTTTCGCATAAGCGCGCGAATGAGCTGCGGCGAAGCGGGTAGCGAGATCACTGTGTCAGCTTCATGGGTATTGCTTCTCCGCAGTGCAACTGTGTTTGAGGAGAAGCGCACTCAAGGGGGCTAACCCACCGCAATCAACACTTCGAAATGTATGAATATTGCAGTTAATTTTTTAAGCGAATATCACCATATTATTTCAAACTACTATTAGAAAATTAAAATATTCGCGTAGCTCTATTCTTCGCACATACTATTTAGGCATCAAGAAAAAAAAACTACTTTCTTAACTTTCAGTGGCATCGCTTGTCCCGTGCCAGACATTTTCAGTTTCCTTTTCGAGAACTGCTCCCTTTCGGCGCAGACATGACGCAAATTGCGCGCAAATACAGCCTTTAGAGCAGCATGTAGCAGGTTATTCATTCTGGCACAGTTTGGCGCAATTAGCGCAGCAGTTTTACCACTGAATATAGCAACGGTTTGTTGTTTACGTTGCAAATTTAATTGAATGTCATGTATAAATCACAAAAGTTGTATTTTGCATGATAATGTCTTTCTAAATCTGTGCTTATTTTTGTTTAGGAGCATATTAGGCTCAGTGTATCTAATGATGTTTGAAGATATCATGCTGAGTGATATAGAACAATAGTGAGGTGAATTTCTATCTCCGAACCTATGTACCTACTTTTTGTATAACATGTATTAAGTTATGTTAATCGTTTAGTTAACGCGTTTTCTGTATACATTTATTACCCTGATTGTTTTTCCTGCATCTCCGTCACCATCTGCCAAGCTCTCGGGGCCCGGACCTAGTAAGCCAAACAAAGATTGGCTTTTTTGTCCGTGGTTTCGACATCTGTACTTGCAGATGCAATAAATGATTTGATTTAATGTACAGGGATTACATGGCTGATTTTTAAAAAGGCCCTGCAAGGACTTTTGTACTGGTTTTTAATTTGCACCGAACCTGAGTGCACTGAATGTCGTATCTTAATGAAACTGTTCTTTTCACGAATTTTACTTTATTTTAAAAGATATAGGCAAATTAAAAATACAAAAACAAGCACAAAAACCCTCTTTCATGACGTCCTCGTCGCTTGAGTGGTCGTGAACTAGAGCAGGATTAGTGAGCTCAACAAGCACACACGGCTGCCGCACTCCGTGTCGATGGCTCGAGAGGGCGCCACTAAAGCATGTTCCGGCTAGGCTGTATGAAGCGGGCGGCCAGGGTGGCTCGCACTGCACTTGCTGCACGATTAAACACTGATTCGGCATGACACTTCATTGGCCACAAACGATAGCAAACACGAGTTAAAAATCAGTTCAGAAAGGCAGCCACTTCGCGCTACCATACCACCAAACGGCCAAATCGCAAGCCAAATCTGCTCGCCAAAGGCCTTCGAAACGCTCGGAACCAGTCGGATCCTCGAACCGTATACGACCGCAGCGCCGCCACGTACATCGGAGACCTTTCTACACTCGCCGCTCATCGGTGCCTGACCCCACTACCCCTCTAGTATGCGTCGCCTTTTCCACCGATTGGTGGTGGATATGTCGACGAGTCATTTCTTGTTTCCGTCTTTATAAACTGCATTTGTTTATTTTCTGATCTAAAATACTGAACAAAAAGTACTTTCATAAATATCTGAAACGGTTCGCGCCACTTATATTTTGTATTTCGACTAAAAAGAAGCTTTTAGCGGGTCTGACCAGTAGACTACACAAATTGCGCGCTTTCGGCACCGCAGGTCGCCCCCGTAGGTGGAGGAGGTTTCCACATCGTCCGGTTAAAATATAACGCACTGGTATTTAGTTACTCTCTCCGTGCCCGCTGCCTTGCCCGAACCCCAATAGATTTGGAAACCGCAAAGAAGGTAGACGCTTAAATATGATTGCAGGGCCCCTTTAAGTCAAGAGGTATGCTACCAGAGGAGTGATTCTCGATAGATGTCAGTTAGAACCAGAAATTCTATATGGCTTGGTGTTTTCCATGACTGCAATTTTATGTGGTTGCCACCAGAACTTGTGGAAAGTTCCAGATCTTCAATGGCTAAGGATGTATATCTAACAATTATATTCTGCAGATATTAAACAGGGAATTGCCATTATTACACAAATAATTACAATGCTCCAAGAAGTAATTCCACTAAAGAATAAAACTGAACATACCAACAGCCTCCTGTCAGCAGCTTCCATGAGTCTTGGTAGTTTCAAACTGCAACATGTCCTCTAGAAGTGGAGCATAAATGGCTCTGGTCTGTGCCTGGTCTGGTGCTCTAGCTGTCTGAGGGCCATGAGTCCACAGTCACTTGAGCCTTGGTTTCACCCCTCTATTCTTCTACACGGGCCACAAGCTGTAGTACCAGGCTTGCAGTAGAAAAGAAACTGAAGGTGTTAAAGATGCACTGCTGAAAAGACAAGGCACAAAAAAAACCATTAACTACTTAGCTTGAAAGGTGCTAAAAAAGAAAATCATACAGATTTAATTAGAACAAAACTTTGAAGATTCATCTCAACCACCCAGGTATTGTGAACCTAGACTGATCTTGCAGCACAATAAGCCTCAGTCAAATTGCAGGAACCTCAGTCTGGTTTACAACCTAATAACTCGGCATCTTGCCTCAAAGCCAACTTTCAATTAACAGCTAATACATTAAACTCTGAAGATACAGCACCAATAAGAGATGAGCATGGTCATGACAGCCTGCTTGACTTACAGTGTCAAGTTAAGGGTTAATCAATGAAACTATTCTCCTATGCCCTTGAAAACTGTGGTCGAGACAAACGTTACAACCAAAAAGATACTTCAAGTAGCTGTCAGCATGCGCTGTACAAGCAGAAGTGTCAAGGGAAGGTTGAAAGGGCCACAGGAAAGCACTGGCTTCCCAAACCTTAGATCCGCCACCCGAAAAACACCCTACTTTCACAGGGAGGAGGGAGCTAGCCTTGTGGCTACAATTTCAGCTATCTGCTCACGTGATAGGGACAGTATACCCAACCTCAACATCAGATTGGACATAGACTGAAGGTTCAGTTGACCGACTGCTTACAAAGCAAATTGCACGGACCAGAGGAGCCTGCTTTAGTATGTTGGTCAGCGACTGTGTGCTGAAAAATTAACAAATAGGGAAGAGTCATGCTAATGCAGTGCTTATATCTGTAGTGAGTTTGAAAGAAAAAGATTATGCACGTAAAATGCTTTCAACAGGCTTGTGAATGTGCATTAAAAATTTGCATAAAGATGTTGGCCTGAACTAGGTTTCGGTCGGTGCTGCTTCAATTGCTCACAACTGATCTCATTCCAGGGGTAGTGATTAACAGAAATAAAACAGGCACAAAGGCTGTTTCACACACTTGCGACTGCTTCTGGCTGGAGAGGTTAAAAGACTGGCTTTAAACCTCTATAAATGCTTATGACTGCCGTGCCGGTTGTAGGCAGTTGCAAGTGTGTGAACCATGCCTGCTTTCTTCTGCAGTAATACACTGCACAAGGAAACTTATTGTATGTTTCTATAGTTGCAACACAAGAATGCGGTGAGACTGGAGTATTCAAGTTCTAGTGCGGTGAATCACAGTTTGCTCTTCTATTTAGGCCTGCAAGAATGATGTCCTGGGAATAATAACAACATCAAGCCTATACAAACAAAAACACCTACCTGCTTCCAATCATACTTTGAAAAGACGTTTTTTAAGGCATGGCCAATAAAAGAAAAAGCTGATGGCCATAGAGAATCTTCAGTCACAGAAATAACACTATATACTGCCATATATGTCAGGATAGACCATATCCCAAATTAACCATGCACAAAAGAGAATGCTGAGAATGTATGAACATACACTGCATGTGCTGGTGTCTGCAAGCGAATCTGTTCAAAGGTAAAAATCTAAAATAAATAGCACATTGCACACACATTCCTCGAAACCCTATTTTGGTTTTTTGCCTCGAATCCTTTATGCAGAGAAGGCAAGCGTGTGCAGCATGTGTACCTACGTTTCCAGCATTCCCCTTGGTGCTTGGGTAATTAGCAAAAAGTCTATTGCTGAAGTTGTGTCAAATGTGTGTCCAAGCAACACACTGTGGTCGTTGCAGACAACGTGCTTGCAACGGATGCTGTCAAAGCTACAGCTCCTGATGCAAATTTCTGAAAGGGCCATTAGAGGCAAGCACACATGTCAAAACGTCGGTGAGGGGGGGGGGGGGGGCAACTTACCGGTGAAATTCCGCTGCCTCAAAGAATCATGACCACCTGTGACATCTTCGGGCGATAGTAACTCCTGGGGTGCTATTAGAAAATAAGATGGATTGTTAGGTACAAATCTTCTAATACTCAGAATTTAAAAAATAACTATCAATTGAGTACAGAACCCTCAGATGCATCTGCTATATAAATGCTTGTGCAGCGAGAGCACATTCGAAAAATGCGACCTCCTGCTGAAAATAACAATGTATGTATGCTTTACATGCAGCATTTCTTTCCAGAGCTGGTGGTTGCATATTATCACTGTTCTCGAACTTCCACTTCTATGGTGCACAACCATGTGTTCTATGTTGAAATAGAACACAGGGCTCTCAAACCAATAAGTGTTTTCACGACAATGTCATACCTACAAGTGTTCATTCTGTTGTTTGTTTGTTTTTTCCTGTTTTTATCTCTTGAGACATATGATAGTTATCTCTTCGCTGTTTTTGTAGCTCGCTTTGTCAAGAAGATGAAAGAGAATACCTTGTCAAGCAAACAACTGTTGGCTTTTTGTCTGCCTCCCAGCATTTGTACTTGTACAGGTGCAAATAAAATGATTAATTGATTGATTGAACTAACACAAAATGGAAGTGCAACAATCTAATTCATTCCCTATAATCAAACAACAGAATTCACGTTTGAAAACAATACAGGTGCCTTCACTAAGGGAAGAAAAAGGTAAAATGTAGGCTTCAAAAAGCAAACATATTGTAGCCAATGGCGTCATGTCACTTGACACTCAGCAGACTACTTCCCGCTGCATATGCTTAGCTGTTGGCATAGGCACATAGCCCCCTGCTTCTCTCATTCACCGTCCTCTCCCCCTCCCTCTTTGTGTCACACCCTCATGGAGCTTTGGGAAGCAACTTGAAGCCAATATATATTTTGTTGCAAGTTAAAAGCCTGGGTCATCTGTATTATATTTTATGTCCCTCTTTTCTTGCCCAGTTTTCTCGCTAGACTGGCCAGGCAACAATCAAATGCAGGCGCACTTACTGCTCCCTCTCTTAAATCTAGGCTCTCTCCGTCATCTCCGCCGGCATGTTGTCGTTAGCGCTCCGAACGCCTCTATCGGCATGCCACAACGGCTTCTCCGCGTGCAATGCGGTAAAGCTGCTTCCCAGATAAGGAGCGGAGAGCAGACGACGGCCTTTCCCGCATCTTCTACTGCCTGTTTTGGGTGCCTTCTTGGTCGTGACAGTAAGGTGCGGCGGTCTGAGACTTAGGGCCAGTTGCACCAATGCAGCTTAACGCAAATCAGAGCTTAGCAGGGAACCTAAGCCGAGTTTTGGTTTTGTTCTGTTGCACCAAAATCACTTATCGCTAAACCTAGCACTAGACCATGCCTATCGTGAGCGCTCAACATCGGGTACTTTACTTGGTCGTTTCTTAATCCTGGATTTAAAACATGCCGGCTGGTTTGTGGCGGTCTACACGGTGGACGAAATTGGTTGTACAAAGTGTTTTAGGCTACAGCAGCGTGAGAGCCTCAACAGAATGACCTTCGATTGCGACAGATGCAAAATATTATGTGAAGTGTTTATCGACCCGTTTTCAAGTTGACTTTCCAGTCTCAGTGTGTGTTAGCCCTAACCAGGGAAGGTATGCAGATGTGGGGCTCACGCACGGCTCACGTCCATCTTCCCATTGGTTTTTATTTCAGCGTGCTTATTCGTATGCAGTTATTTGCGCATATCTGTAACGTATTGCTATTTACAACCTTGTTTATCTTAGAGCGCAGCTCTTAGGCACCCGCTTCCGGCTTGAGTGGAGTCGGCGTAACCGCACGGTGCATTATGGAACACTACCCATGATGCAATGCGCAGGGAGGAGGATGAGGGGGAGGGAAGGAAGGAGGAGGAGGGGGAAGAGAAGGAAGGAGGGGAGGAGAGAGGAGCTTGAAGGATGAGGTGAGGGGGAGGTGAAGGAAGATGAGGAGGAGGGGAGGAGTAGCAGGGAGGATGAGTGGGTGAGGAGGAGCAGGGAGAGGGGGTATACCCTCCCCTCAGTACCCTTCCCTCGTCTTCTTTAAGAGCTGTGCTCTAATTCGGCGTTACAGGGTGTTGTAAACGTCAGATTTTTACTTTCAACGCATTTCCTTTTTTCCAATCAGCGCGTTGAATAGCGGCAGTGCACGATCTCGGCGATCAGCCGATTGTAGCCCCATTCTTCCGTTGTCATTAAATTGCGGTGAACAACGCATTTAAACAATAATGCAACGAAAAGGCTATTTTTTTTTTTTTTTTAGTGTTAGGACAATTTTTAAGAGAAGTTTCTTTGTCTCCCGAGTAAAATCTTAGCTTCGGAAAACTGTGTCGTTCTACAGTCGAAACTTATCTGGTGACCGCACTTTGTAGCGGCGACAAGAAATCATAACGACTAAGATGCGAGATTTGCTCAGCACTGTATTAGGGCAGGCTGTGGCGGGTGGTGCGAAGAGATGACTGTTCTCATAGACACAATGTGATGACCTAGTGTGAGTTTTCATACTTCAAAGACAGCCACCGCCTTACGTTCAACTAGGGAGACAGGCAGTGTACTGTGCCACAGCTCACACGCCATGCCCCTCTGGGTAAGATGTTACAACATGTTCTGCAGTACCGTAGAAGCTAATAATCGTTCAGTAATTGTATTTGCACTTCGATATATTTAAATTGTTGTCAAAATTGAATACAATATTTACTTTTATTTTTGGGGTGCACTTTGTTGCAATGCACATAAGTTGTGTTGTGAAGTAGGCATCATGAAAATACCCAGTATTTCTGTTTTCTGGCTGCACTTGGAAATTTTTTATACAAATATGTATGGTTAAATTATCCTTGGCAAGCAACTGGACCCCAGCCCTAGACTCAAGCCTTGCTTATTTCAGCATCTGCTCATCTATTTTCTTAAGGAAATAATTCAGGTACTAACAAAAACATGAAATGGTTATGAAGGCTGATCGGGAATCTGAATGGTTTATTTTGGAAAATCATGTAGGTCATAAATGACCTAAGCTTAATGTGATAATCCTAGTGTTGGTTTTCATGATTGAGATCTGAGGCAGAGCAGGTGAAATAGAAAAGAAACTTTGTACAATGTCTAGGTCTAAGGCACAGCTTGTATTTGTTTGCTAAAAGACAGAACTAACAGACACTTAGAAAAACCCTCAACACCTAGGCATAGAAATTAGAACAGCATAATAGAACCAGAGGAATGAAATGCACGACTGCCACAGAAAGATGGAACTTTACCAATCTGGGGAAACTTTACGTAACACTGACTATTTAAAATAAGTGAGAAACCAGACCGTAATGCAGCTTGCTTTTTGAACTAACCTAAAATTAACTATCTTCAATTTTATGAGCTAACAAAATAATGACTGATGCAGCACAAAGAAAGTCAGAAGGTCAAGTTACAAGGTTACATGTAAAGACCCCAAGTTAGCAGTCATGCTGCATATGGTAAGTTTTCTTTCTGCAGTGGAGACACAAACAGTCTAATTTCATAGCTGACTGATTCATCACTCTCTGAAGGCTAACAACCCATTTAATTTTGACTTTTATGACCATAATAAGGTCAAAGTAGGAAAGTTTTAACCTACACAAAGATATACCAGGTGTTTCTTTCAAAACTTAACAGATTTGTTTAAAAAGCCGTGAAAGTTACACTTATGCGGTTTGTGCAGATGAGTTATACAGCCAGGGGGATAGAGTATTGGGGCTAATTGTAACGATCAGTCAGCTAATTATTTAAAATTCGTTAATTAACTTTTTAAATAATTAAAAATCGACACATAGTTCCAATTAGAAACTTGCTAAGCGCCATTGAAAACCACTAAATCAACTCTTTATAGAACATAAAGCATGGGCAGCATTTTACGTCGTTCTAATGAAGCGCTCAATTTGGATGTGTTTCTAGGTTTCGCTTACTTATCCGAGCACATCTCTGCGCCCGCAATCCTGTCCCCTCCCCCTCCCCTCCCTCCTCCTCCTCCTCCTCCTCCTCCTGTAGTCGCGGCGCAAAGCCACTCCCTCGCTTACCTTGTAGCATAGAGGGAAGTTGGGCGCAACTGTGTTGCACATCTCAGCCACTGTCGAGCAGGACCGTGGGAGCAGAGATGCACTGCAATAACAAATCGAAACCTAGAAACGCGTCCACATTGAGCGTTTTCATGGAACGCTGTAATATACAGCCCCTGCGTTATATCTTTCGAAAAAGAGTTGATATAGTGGCCTTAGGTGACGCTGAACAAGTTTCTAATTGGAACCACATGTCTATTTTCATTTATTAAAAAGTTAATTAACGAATTTTACTTAATTAGCCAACTGATCGTTACAATTAGCCCCCTATACTATGTTCCCTTGGCCGTATACCTCACCTGCGCAAAACCGCTTTAATGTAACTTTCATTTTTTAAAACAAAGCCACAAAGAGTGTCTTGGTGTAAATGCTATATGTATTCCGTTACTAAGATTGGCTCATGAAGTAAACTAAACAATGAATAAGTATGGTTGGAGCCAGAACGCAGACGTTACGAAGGATCCATGTCGTACGAGGGTGATTAAAAACTTATTTCACTTTGGTCAACTTACACCTTCTGTTGGCTGCACTGTCTTATCGGCACTTTTCATACAAGGTTGCTGTATCTCCAGTCACTGCTGTGCAGGCTTGAATCTGTTAAATCAGTTCAGTTGGGACTGAGGTGCTAGGAAGAATGGCTGTCCCATGCTTAATTTGTACAAGTGAATCAGTCATCGTTCTCGTGATATGAAGGGGTGTCCAGTAATTCCATATATATGAATATACCGATATCCATAAAAAAAACTTTGTGCACAGTATTATGGAAATGTAAATGTTTTCTCGCAAAGAAATGCGTTTGAATGGATACAGAAGTTCTATGAAGAATGCACGAGTGGCAGTCATAAAGGAGCCAATGCCCATCCATTTCGACGACTGAGAATGACGTTGAGACACATCCGCGAGAGGTGTTGAGACACTTCTGCAAGGCAATGAGGGATCTCCAGAGAAAACTCAAATGCTGAAGATAATCAGAGTATTGTCATCGTCCCCATATCATAGTCAATCATTGGTCTTGAATGGTGCTATTATATTCGAGTTCTCTATTTTGTGACCACACTTGCCTCCAGATGGCTCCAACGTACTGAGAACTACCCCGAGATAGTCATCGGCCTCCGATTGAAGTCAATAATTGGTCTTGAATGGTGCTATGACAACAAAGTTTCCTTTCTGGTGAGCCAACTTGCCTCCAGACATCTCTGCAATGATGAAAACTACCTCGGAATGGTCGTAGTCCTCCTATTGTAGCCAATAATTGGTCTTAGACGGTGCTATGACAACGAAGTTTCCTTTCCGGTGAGCCAACCTGCCTCCAGATGTCTCTGAAATGATGAAAACTACCTCGGAATGGTCGTCGTCCTTCAATTGTAGACAATAATTGATCTTAGATAGTGCTATGACAACAAAGTTCCCTTTCCGGTGAGCCAACCTGCCTCCAGACGTCTCTGAAATGATGAAAACAACCTCGGAATGGTCGTCGTCCTCCAATTGTAGCCAATAATTGGTCTTGAACGGTGCTATGACAACGAATTTTGCTATCTGGTGAGCCAACTTGCCTCCAGACGTCTCTAAAGTGCTGAAAACTACCACTGGATGGTCGCTGTCCCTAAAGTGTAAACTGAACTTTGAAAAAAAAATGTGGTCGTTAAAATTATTAAAAATCATTTGACAATTTTGTAATCCTGACATGTTGCAAAGGGACAGATGCTTAAGGAACTATATCATGTAAAATTTACTGAAAGGACAGATACAAGGGCACTGCCATTCTGATTTCAAATGCAGCACTGATAATAGGCACATTCAAGTCCCACTAAGTTTGTGCTTAGGTCTTGCACTTAGGTGTTTGCTGCTCCAAAACAGTGTTTTGGAGCAGCAAATGTGGCCTTTGGAGCGGCCAAGATAGTATGTTTTGGAGCAGCAAAAGTGGCTTTTGGAGCAGCGAAAACAGTGTTTCGGAGCAGAAAAAGTGACTTTTGGAGCACACATTCTTAGAAATATAAATATTTGTTTTAAATGCTGGAAAAACGAAGGGCACTTTGTGTTGTGTTGTGATGCGACGTGTTTGGGCGGAATTCGCTGCTTGTGTTTTTGCTGCTGAGACATCCCACAAGTATACAGTGCTGTAAGCGTTGCCAAGCAATTCTGAAAAAAACAACAAAAAAAACACTTGCTTTCGTTTTACTGGTTTTCAACGTGGCAGATCTTCATAAAAAGTAAGCAAACGCAAGACATTAGATTGCAAGCGTCGTGGATGGTGCCTCTCGTGCAATCATGTTCACATGCACGTGAGGGCAACTTCGGCAGGCTTGCACCTAGACGTGCTTCGTCGCATGAGCAGAGACAACGGCTGTTCAACCGAAACCGAAACCATGCCACTCCGCTTTGTCGCCAACTGGTTCCCAAAATAATATACATGTACAAAATGTAACTGTCCAGCATACGACAAACAGTCCAGCGGTGCGTGCTTGCCAGGCCGGTGGGCGAGGTACAAGCTAAACACACAAAAAAAAAGGACCTGAGCGTATCGATGCAAGACATTGCGAGCCAGGGTCAAGAAGTTTTTGGAGCGCTTTGTGCAACGACTGAACTCGAGACAAACAAGCGTGCTGTGCAGGTTCAGCGTGCAGGCATTGCCTTCTTTGCTTTAGGTCACTTCTCATCATCAACATTCTTTCGCGGCAGATTTTTCACGTACCGGGGTCCCTCTCGGGAGAAAGCCCACCGAGAGAAACCTAGGTAATTATTATTTCGACACAGCAGTCATTGAGTTAAAGAGGGATTTTTATAGCAGCGTATGATTTAAACAAGAGCAGGAATGTCGATGCGTTTCAGTTTAGAAAGCATTATATCTGCAGCAAAGTGGGGACGGCAACACACGACGTCGCGCGACGAGAGTTACTTTGTGAGCTTTGTGAGCACAAAGTAACTCTTGCCACGTAAAAACGTGGTTTTGTTTCACAGCATGACGGCAAGTCTGGAACCCGACACACTAACGTCGGAGTGTCCGCGCACACGGCCGCGTCTATCACTAAAATATTAAAAAAAAGAAAAAAAGACGCGAGATGAGATTCCCGAGACGACGAGAGTGCGAAACGCGAGACGGCGGGAAAAATCATGCAAGACTGCATAGATGATTGATGCAGGGTACTTTGTGTCGGGCAGCGTCTTGTGCCACCTAGCCAACGCATGCTCAATTACGGTTCTCAGTTTAGTTTCGTTTTTGAAAGGCGACCAAGATTGGTCCTTTTGCGCAGGTTTGGCACAGATTAGCCATATTCAGGGGTGGAAGCGGGCTAGAGCCTTTTGTAGCAGGGCTGGGAGCAGCAAAAGTCCCAATTTGGAGCAGTTTTGGAGCAGTAAAACGCTCGCTTTAGAGCAGCTCGGGAGCAGCAAAAATAAGTTTTGTAGCCGTAGAAGTAGGTTTTGGAGCAGGTCACGGAGGTCAAACAGGTGACTAAAAGTGATTTGTTGTTGCTAAATGTGAAAATGAAGCAAAAATATATGCATGCACATCCCAGAATAATTTTCAAGCAACATACATACACATTTTTCTATTTCTATTGCATTGAAATATGGAATATTGGCAATTTATGCAAAGGAAAGGCTTTGAGAACCATTCCGGCAGCAGGCAGAGTCATGATAGACTTTATATGGGAGGCCCCGACAATAAAAGCCTAACTTGAGCCACGCCAGTACAAAACCGTCTACTTAATAGACCAATTGTAAACATGTATCCAGAAAATTAAACCACTGCAAGGTGTCAGATAAACTACCTTCGCTGACTACAGCTTTTGTTTAATAAAGAATACACATGCTCAATCACTACTTAAAAAGCCCTCCCTATTGGAAAACCCCAATATAAACAGCGTATTATGGATATTGGTAAACAATATCTTTTTATTGTATTGCAATACAATATAGACAGTGTATTGGAAAACATTACATTTATTGTATTGTATTACAATAAGGATTTGTTATGGGATTCCAATATCCATAATACGCTGAAAATATTGGAATCCAATACCGTATAAACCCTTATTGGATCCCCATGTGTCGTATGGGGATCCAATAAGGGTTTACGATTCCAATATACTCAGCGTATTATGGATATTGGAATCCAATATATTATATCGGCTACCAATAAAACTATATGCGAGTTGGAATATCACGTTCAGCACGACATTTCTTTGCAACGCAGTCTCTTCTTGTGTGTATTTCTGAGTGATAAAAGAAAAAGTGTTGTTGTTGTCAAATGATGAATAAAGAAGCAAAACACTGGGCTTATCCATACCAAATATATTTAACATATTCCTGAACTGGAAGATCTGGCATTTACTGCAAAAGAAAGTTAATTGTTTAGGACCCTCATTCAAAAACTTGCTGTTTGAAAACAGAATGTGAAATCCTCACCTTTTAATGAAAGCAGCACCTGCTAGCTGTAGCCATATAGAAACTGCAAAATAAAAATTTGTGATTAGTTCGCAACAAGTAGCAATCCTTCACTAAGCTGGATAGATTCAAAATTATGTCTGCGTTTGATTGTGAAAAAATAAGCTTCCATTCCACTGCCACAGATCATTCTGAGCTCCGTCAATTAAATAAACCTATCGGCTCGTCTGGCTTTACAGTTCCTGCTTTGCACCTAACCACGGTGAAAGATACACTCTTTAGGTGAGGACACGCCGGGGCTGAACGCGCGGCACGAGGAATCAAATAGTGTTCGTTCGACGGGCATCCGAAAGACTGCATCATTCGACTGCCACCGTGCCCGCGACTGACAGTGTCACCGGCGGCCAAACGGCGGAACTGTGTGACAGCAAAAAATCATTATCTCGTTGTCATGACACCCCGGTACACCATGGTCTTTCTGCACGTGTGACAACCTCGCTGGAGCTCTGCGCGTGTGGTACATAAGGCGGCACGAGCCGTCTTGAACGTGCCCACGGGTCGACGAGTCACCTGCTGGCGTTGCTTGAAACCAAAGTGAGAGAGTGTGAAGGGCGAACTTCATCGGGCCGTGGCCAAGAGCGCGCTGTCCTCACCTGAAGAGTATTATCTTACACCGTGCACCTAATTAAAGTATCTGGAATGCTCACCTTTGAGGAAAAACGAACTGGTGCTTGCTTGCTTGTAGGCCGTGGAAACTGGGACAAACTGGGAGAGAGATTTGCGATTAGTTGCGTTCAAGTAGCAATTACATTGAGTAGCCCCGTAAAGTACACTAAGTCGATAGGATGGAAGCTTGGGCGAGTTGGTGAACCATACTTGGCGGTGACAGCGCAGCAAAATTAATCTCACACCAGACACTCAGGAAGACAAGCACACGCGCTGAACTTACAACTCTTGTGTATTCGACTGCTTCATTTTTCTCTTCAACGTCTGGGTTGACTTTTTAGAACGTGATAAGTAGAAGAAGTAGCACGAAATACAAGGGAAAATTCTAAAGAGAAGGCAAAAGAACAGTAAAAGAGAAGACAAATGAAGAAACGGAAAAAAATATCTAAACGAAACACTTTTCCAAATTGTCCCTCTCCCTCATCGCTATCATTTAGATAGAAATTGGAGCTCTTTGGTCGAAAGCGCTATAGAAGGACTACTTACAGACTTGTCCTTCAGCTGTGCTATCCTTTCCGCTTCCATTATTTCGTTTGCGTGTCCTAGATTTTATGTAAAAAAAAGCGAAATATTGGAGTTTCTGGCACCGCTCAAACACCCTCAACTCATCCACCGGCTTCCGGGTCACGTGCTCAATGACGTAACGGGGCAGTATCGGAGTTTCCGGTTTTGCAGTTTTCCGTGGAGTGGCTCTGGTATCTGAATCTCGTATCTACGTATATCGCGAAGAACATGGCGGCCTGGCGAGATAGCCTGAGCGATGTCCAGCGCGGAATGCTCAATTTTAGTCAGTCGATGGGGCTTGTTCCCTACGCGGACACGCCGTCGAGGCGTCGGAGGGTATCCTGCAGCGAAGAGGACTCGCTTGCGCTCAGCCCTAGCCCTAGCCCGACTCCAGACCCAGATGCATGGCGGCTCACCACGACGGCATGGTAATAATCTCTCGTCTCATTTCATTCCCTCGTATCTTTTCGTGCTGCTTTTAGCTAGCCTGTCTCACATCCCTCGTTCAAATCACAGGTGTTCTTGTAAGCGGTGCGCCGTAATGCCGACGTCAAAGGAGTGCGTCTGCTGCCGTGAATGCCCACCTGCGGTCGCGACACACCCGGAGGGCTGCATAACGGAGCACACCGACTTTGCGGCGATATGCCTGCAGCCTTGTGTGCTGCGTGTCGCGTTTTGGGCTCTTCAGGAGGAGGAACGTCACCCGGCGCCGGGAGAACAGAAGTGCGTAGTCGATTAAAATGACTTAA